GTGGTGAAGGTTGTACCAAAAGTAGGCCGGAACCTCCCCTTCCTGTCTGAACCCCGTTTGATGGCGGGCTTGGATCACCCAAACGTGATCCGACTCTTCCAGGTCATTGAGACCCTCAAATACATGTACATTATCATGGAGCATGCAGGTGGGGGACATCTACGGAGCCTCATCTCGGAGCCTGGTGGCATGCCTGAGGAGCAGGCCCGCAGACTCTTCAGGCAGATGGTGCGTGCTGTGCAGTACTGCCACGAGAAGGGCATCGCACACCTGGACCTCAAGCCGGAGAACTTCGTGCTGGACGCCAGTGGTACCGTGAAACTCATTGACTTCGGCCTGAGCACCAGATTCACAGCCGGGAGGAAGCTGAGCCGGTTCTGGGGCACTCTCCAATACTTTGCCCCAGAAGTTGTCCGCAGGGAGGAATACGAGGGCCCCCTGGCGGACATCTGGAGCCTGGGGGTGGTTCTCTATTTCATGCTGACAGGGAGCCGCCCATTTATAGCCAACAGTGTTGGGCAGGTGAGGAGGCTGATCATGGAGGGAGCCTATGGCATTCCTGCACATGTTTCCARGGGAGCTCAGAGCCTCATCCTTGCGATGCTGAAGGTGCACCCCAGGCAGAGGCCCAGCCTAAAACAGATMATGAGCCACCCATGGCTGAGCCAGGGCAAGGAAGATTCACCCCGTCCTTCTGGCGAGGCCCTCCCCATCCACCCGGATCCTGCCATCATAACAACCATGTTCGACATGGGTTACGACCCCTATAACATCTGGGTGTCCCTGTCACATAAGAAATACGATGATGCCATGGCTACCTACCTCCTGCTCAAGTGCCAGAGAACCCAGGGGGTGGGTTGCACATGCCAGGAGAAGCCCGTGCAGCGTCGGGTGGTAGGGCCTCGCCCAGGCCCTGCAGATCCTCCTAGGGTCGACCCCAGGAAGTGCTCCAGTGAGCCTGCCCTTCGCTTGCCCTGTGAGCAGCAGCAGCAGCCAGAGGAGGCCAAACCGTCTCTGAAGAAGGGTGGTGGCAGTGCCAGCGTGCCTGGCATTCGTCTCCGCTTTTTCCACGTGGACACACCCCCTCCCAGCCTAGCCTCCCAGCACCACCCTGTGCCCAGCACAACCGACCCCTCCAGCCTCAGTAGGGAAATCCCAGAGGACCCCTTCAGCCTCGGTAGGGAGATCACAGAGGACCCCTCCAGCCTCAGTAGGGAGATCACAGAGGACCGCAGCTCCTCCTCCCAAGCTTCCTCCACAGAGCCAACCCACCACTGCATCAGGGGTTGGAGGAGAGTGAGGAAGAGTATTGTCTCCTGCCTTCGACASYTGTGTTTCATCCCATGCTTCAGTCARTCATTGTTCAGGAGCAAAGTGGTTCCAGTGGAAATCATCAGCCAAGACCAACAGAACCAATGAACAGCCCGAAGACCAAGGTGTGCCAACAGGTTTCCAGGCAGGAGCGCATCTGGGTCCACCAGGAGTCTCCTCTGCCCCCACCTGCGAAGATGCCTCATAGAGACTTTGCCTTGGGTCACGTCCCCCTGTCCTGCTCTTTGTCCTGCTGTTTCTCCACTGTCCTGCTGTTTCTGGTCACTGCCAAATAAGAAATTTATTATTTTTTTTCACAAATTGTACAATAAAAATGTTTCAAAGATTGAAAAAAAGCAAGTGTGTGTGTGTGTGTGTGTGTGTGTGTGTGTGTGTGTGTTTTAAGAAGGAAGATTTAGGGCAAGGCCAGAGTCCAGCACTCAAGGCATGGACCACTATGCCTCCCTCTCCCAACCAGTGTGGATATTTGCTCACCTTGAGCCAGTGTTGATAGACTCACTTTTCTTGAGCCAATGTAGGTGGGGACTTGCTCCCCTTGAGCTTGTGTAGACTTGATTCACTTTGAGCTAGTCATTTTGGCTAGAGAATATCCTTTYTGTGATCTTCAGACCTTCAGGTGGGTTGCAGCTGTTGAAGACACCCATGGCAAGGCATTGGAAACTGTAGAGTGTTCTATGGCTTCATCTCCATAATCCCACGTACAGGGAAGCAAGAGCTGGGCAGTGCATAGGGGCAAGCCTGCCTACAGCAGTGGCTGGGTGTCTCACCACATGCCAGCCATCCTTCCCACCTTCTTGTCACTGCTAAAGGTCACAGACAGTGACCACATGGATTTGGGGAGCAGAAGTGTGAAATCTCGGGGATGCTACTTACATGAAAGCACTGCACCCATGTGGAATTACCCTTGGGTTCTGTTGACATTTTTTTTTTTTTGTATAATCAAGTGCACACAAAAAGTAGTAAAAGCTCATGATAGGACAGGAGGTTTTGTGCATCTTGCAGCCCTGGCATCTCTGCAGCTCTGGGACTGTTACCACAGTCCCCTCAACTGACCCAGAACACTTGTAAAAGGGAAACCCAAACTCCTTGCCCCAAGTCTCCTCCTTTCAGCCTGAATCAGCCAAAGCAATCATAGCCCACATCCGTTTACAGCAGCAAGAATTCTCTTAATTAGAGGGGGATTGACAACAGGGCAAAAAGACAGTGTAGATGATGAGTAATTGAGTCAGGAAGACCCRTGCTGATTCAAAAGGTAATAAAATGCTAATACCTCCAGAGCACTTTCCCCTCCTCCTACTTGTTGCCAAGGTCACCTGCATCCAGGGAATTCTTCCTCCCAGCAAGGAGTAGTTAATGAATGCCCCCCTAGGCAGSTCCCTTCCTTCCTTTCTGGGTAGAGATGGAAAAAAGGGAGAAGTACCCCTGAAAGGCTCCTTTCTCACCTTTGGTCATGAAAGCAAGGTAAGAGTAAGAGGGGGATGTGAAAAGAAAGGAAACCTGAAATCTATAAAAGGGGAAAGACACCCCCACTTTTGGGCACCAGCTCTGGCATGTAATCCCTCCTCTCCTCAGGATTCCCTCTGTCCCCCTCCCTGCCACCTCTTCTATCCTGTAAATATTTTTTTTTCTTTTTTGCTCTTGCCTGGGTGTTGTTCAATGTTCAACACTGGGAGAATGGATCTTGATACTGATTTTCAAGACTGGTTTCAATTATGCCCTATGTTTTAGTCAACTTTTTCACTGCTKTGACTAAAAGACTTGACAAGAACAATTAGAGGAAGAAACTTTATTTGGGGGCTCACATTATTAGAGCTCTCAGTCCATAGAATGCTGGCTCCCTTTCCCAGAACTTGAGGTGAGTCAGAACATCATGGTGGAGAGTGTGGTTGAGGGAATTGATGACCAGGAAGCAGAGATAAAGCTCTGATTAACAAGGACAAAATATAAATCCCAAAGGCATGACCCTAGGTACCCACCACCTCAAGCCACACCCTACCTGCCCACAGTTACCAAGTTGATCCCTCTAAGGGGGATTATTTCACTGATTGGAATAAGGTTCTCATAACAAAATTGTTTTATACAAACTTTCTTAAATTTTGTCACACATGAGCTTTTGGGAGACACCTCATATCTAAACCATAACACCATGGATTGAAACAGAAACCCCCAGAAACAGCAGAGGATTTATCAAGTTTGAAGATTAACCCTATAGTTTTGTAGAAGTAAACAAAGAGGTGATAGTGGGTTACTCCTCAGCCTAGAGATATACTCTCCTGGCTGGACATTGTGTCCTCTAGGAAACTACGTAGTGCTGAGGCTTGAGCTGCATTTCCTCTCCGGAGTCAGAATCTTTGAGGGTGGAGTGAAAGCATCCAGAAGTTTTCATTCTGCATCTGATTCTTATGAGCAGCCACCCCTAGTAAGTGTGATCATCAAGTGGGATCTGAAGATTCTCTGGGTAGAGTTCTACAGTGCCCTCTCTGCTCTGCCTTGGGCAGCTCCCTTCTGCCATCCGTGGTACTCAGCAGATAAAATRGGACTGGGTTAGCAGGTGGCCAGAGGGTTGCTGGGTGGTGAGCCTTCCTCCCTCTAGCCTAGAGATGATAGAGTATAGAGCTAAACGGTTTTGCATTAAGGGGCCCTTTTTGTAGCTCATCCCAGGGACAGCTGAGAACAACCTAATAACCATATTCGATTTTCCGATTATCCGTCTCTAAAAAGCCTGCTTTGCTTTGAGTCAGTTCTCCCCCCACCCCCCTCTAAATTATAAAAGGAATCAGATTTTCTCTCTCAAATTTCATTTGAATGTTTTTCAAAAGCAAAAAATTTCGAGGTACCGGAGGAAGTCTGTCATAAAGAGATTCAGGAAATGTGTTTTATCAGTTTCGTTGATATTCAAGTAAATTCAGAATCAGATTTGGAGGGAGAATAGAAATGTTTCCTTTATACTGAAGCACTGCATGTAGAAGTTTCAACCGAGATCATTATAAATTAATGTTATATTTTTGGATTATATGTTTTTTTAATAAAGAAATAAAGAAAAGGGAAGCCAGGCTAGTTACATCTCTGGATTCAGCCTGCTGTACCAAAAAAGGTTGAAAGCCAAGGGAAAGAGGCTCAAGTGGCAAATGCACTGAGGTTGGAAACCTATTACTAATTCAGGAGCAAGTGCATTAGGAGAGCTTCAGAGCAGCAGTCCCGTCAGATGCAATTAAAGAGCTGCACATGGAAACAGCCTCTTCATAATTTATGGAGCAATTTCACTTTCTTTTTGGGGAGAAGGTTTCTTATCAATAGAAATTTGTCCTTGTGAGTGAATTGTTAGGGATACCAATTATGTGTTTTACTATTTAATTTTATAGATATTCCTGGTTAAGTTGTGAAAGTGTGTAGCTGATCAAAATCTGATTTCACCATCTTCTCATGGTGTTGCTTTTCAATACCTCCAGTCTTGTGAAATGTGAGTTGATAAAAAGCAAAGTTTATGAGGAATTTCTTCTTTCATGTTCAAAATAGCTCCAAGGCCAACCCCCCTCCAAAGAAACAAATAAACCAAACTTTTAATTTTGATGCAAGGAAAGCAACATTTACTTTTTAAATGGTGTTTCATGTTCTCTGCTATTAACTAAAAAAAGAAAATTTTCCTGTTAACACTCTCTGGGAAAACAAATGACTTCACCTACAAGGGAAAGGAATCAAGTGTGGCATACACCTATAATATTAGTGGCWCAGGAGGCTGAGGCAGGAGGATCGCAAGTTCAAAGCCAGCCTCAGCAACTTAGACAGGTCCTAAGCAACTTAGAAAACTCCTGTGTCAAAATAACAAATAATAATAATAAAACAGGCCKGGATATGGCTCGTAATAAAGTGCATCTGGGTTCAATCCCTGATAYTGAAAAAAAAAAAAAAGATAAGAAAAGGAAAAGGAGTAGGAATTTGGCTAGGGATCTCTTATCCACCACATAGCTTGTAGCATGTAAGTATATACTCTCATATTACATTAGTTCAGTTCTCAGGTAGGACAAAAAAAAAGTAAAAATTATAAATGGAAAATAAGAGGAAAAATATAWATGATATTTGAAATTAGAAAAATTCTAAATAGTTGTTTTTCTYCTAATGACTAATTATTCCATAAAAGGATGGAGTGAGTCTCAGTAAAAAAATATCCTAAGAAACTAAAAGTAACCCCCAAAAGAAGACACTTAGGGAAAAGTACTTGGCCTTCCAAAAATTTGTATTTGGGACTATCTCATAGAAAGATGCTCAAACACCCTTGTTTTTTTGTATCCAAGGATATATATTTGTGAATTATGCTTCTAAAACAGACATGAAAATCAATGAATATAATATAAAGCTACTAGAAAGTTGAAATCTATATGATATACATGGGGAACTGAAAATCAGGCATGAAATAGTTACAGAATTTGGACCTTAACTTTTCCTTGTGGCCACCAGTAGTGGAAATGGCCTAGAAATGGCCATAGCAAGAGATGTGTGGGTTTATGAAAGAATTTCCAAAGCAGATTTAAACTAGCTTACTTACAAAAATGTTCAGAGTCAAGATCCTGGTGTTCTGCTACAAGGCAGATGTCAGCATCCAGGAAGAAKCAGAGTGCTTTCAATAGGAGATTCTCAGGAGTAAATATTGAATTTGGTGTGCCATCCCAATCCAAAGAGCAATTTAAAAAATTGAACTGAAGTTCAGGAGAGTGATTGTTCTAAAGAYTGGTTAGCAAAAATTGGGTTGCTGAAAACACGATAGTGGATTAGATCCCTAGGTCGGGATGATGTGCTGACGGAACTGGAGATTCAAGACTGARTTTAGAATCAATTCAAATTCAGGGGTACGTAGGAAAGAAAAGAAACAGTATCAAGACTGATCTCTTCACAGCTCTTAACTCAGTAATTCAATATACATTTGAAGCTCAGATACAGATTCGCTTACAAAATTGAATTATTTTTATATTGGATGGGGAGAATCCCCTTAAAGACTTAATGCTAATCACTACCTACTTTTCTCTCTCTTTTTCTCCCTCTCTCTTATACAACAGTTCACATGTTCTTGTTCTTTGTTACAATATAATTCA